CGGTTACACTGCAACCACATGGATTACAATAGCCATATCAAGGCTATCAGAGACAGATATGGCCGTTAACCATCTTCGTTGATTGTCCGAAGGAACATCGCTCATCTGCTTTCAGTCCCGTCATCATATCACGCTGCGTTTGGCATCGAAAAGGAAAATCAAGTTGATGATCATCTTCTACACATGGTGCCAAGGCCTTACAATGTATGTTGTCATCGTTGTTTGAATTACTATTTTCACTTCACAACATACCAGGTACGTGCTCCCCATAGCGGAATCATGGGCCTGAACCCGAACATGGAAGAATGGGTATCATGCTGTACATGGAAGAATGGGTATCTTTTTCTGATCCGCGGCGGATCATCCGCCAACTTATAGTCAGAACACACGACCTGCTCAATGGGACGAATCGGCTGAAAATGAGCTTTCGTTTGTCAAAAATGATCTTGTGTTCGGTAACTTTGAACTAACGTTTGTGTTTCTGATTTCCCAAAAATTTTAGGAAACAAGAACTTCATGTTAGTAAATGAATTTTGGGCCAAAATTCATTAAGGAAATACATTTTGAAGTTCATGTTGGTAGATGAAATTTGTTCATGTCATGAACTTTCCTCTTCGGATAGTCTATGAGAATCGAACTTCACTGTCAATTTGGATTCTGTTTTGCATGAGAAATTCTTTCCTTACTACGAAAATCAAATATCATATCTTACCTTTGTCTTCTCATTCGCTGAGTTCCAGCTCGAAGAGGTTTTGCATTTCTCTCACCATCGAGGTGAGAAACGCGTCCATTCTGTAATGCGAGAATGTTGGCTAGTAAGCACTAGTCTATGGGATGAGAATCATCACCAGTCCACAGCAATGGGAATACAGAAGACCTGATGCATGAGGTCTGTTGAAATATGTTCCGTTAATAACACTAGTAACTCAGCAATCGTGGACTGGAAAAAATCCCTAGAAGCTCTCTCCTGCAAGTACTTACTACTTAGTTGACGATTACATGATAACTGATGGATAAGCGAATCGTGCCGTGAAGCCTCTCGTCAGTGAAGCCCACGCTACCTCATATATCAAAACTACTTGACATATGATGATTCAGAATAAGTAGGAAAAAAGTGACTCTGTGAGCTATTTTGTACATAGTGTCCACTGTCAATATGAGTCAATGCAAAACTCATTGGCTACCGTTTTGGTAGTAACAGTGAAAAAAGCCGATCAATGAACCGCCGTTCCGACCCGAGTCTAAGACCGTGAATGAGGATGTGCAGCCTGAGTGTCTCAGGCCGAGTTGAAAGGGAACATGGGGTGCTCAAAGTACAGCCTACTCTTGCCGATGTAGGTAGTGAGCCCTTCTTGAGAGAATGCCAGAGTCTCGATAGAGGTCTCATCGACCTCGAAGCAGAGACCGCACGTCGTCTTCATCGTCTCGACGAAAGAGGAGCGGTCATCTTCAAAATCAATTTTATACGGCTCGCCCGGCTTATCCTGTGACAATCTGTAAGGGCCTTTGGAGACCACAGGATCACCAGTCCTACCAGTCGAACAGCTGATATTAACAGTGCTTTCTTGAGTAACGTCAAACCGGAAATAAGCTCTGAAGCACTCTCCCAAACTGACCACAAAATTATTCCGATAAGTGTCCACTCTGAAAGGCAGATTATAGCGAGTGAGTTCGATTTTCTTTCCTTGAAATTGGATATTAGCAGAGTCCAGCGAAGTCATATTAAACGTCCTGAGGTCATCCTTTTCGAACTTCACTGAGGGACAGACAGTCTGGGAGCCTTCGTAGAGACGATTAAAAGCCGGAGATCCATAGGCGGCAAGAGGGTTCCCAGTCAAGTCGATTACGAAGTTAGTAAACTCTGGCGGGATCTTGGTGATAGCCGGGAAAGGAAAAGGGCCATCCTCGAATGTCCTACAGCATTCCATGTTATACACCATATTCCCATCACGGGTTATGTTGTAAGTCAACTGCATACCATGGCCACAATCGACGTACTCGAAGAGACCGGGGAATGGGAAGGGGCCGTAGAAAGGGAAGACCCTGTCACTCTGTCCATTGCAGGCGGTTGCCACCAAAACGACGAGGAGGATACCCCACATTAGCACGGTCATTGAACGAAGACGATGTGAAAGGGCAGTGAAGGCGCAGAGAAGCCTTTGTATATGCGTGCAACTTTGTAGGGACATAGCTAATGGCTATGTAGTCCCTTAGGTGTGTGTGATTACAAGCGCCCAAGATCGTTGCTGATACTACAGCTCAACGTTTGCGTCCTTCTCATGAGTCGCAAGGTCAGAAGTTCTGACTCAGAACAGTACCACTAGTTTAAAGAACCTAGTTCGTCCCACGAACTTCATAGAAGCGTAACAAACAGTATGTGACGTGAAACCGCAATCACGCTGGTGGGCGAGCCAACGGTGCAAATCCGATGGATAACTGTCTACCCCTGACCGGATTAAGGAATGTCAAGCGATCTGAGGGAGCACAAGTGAACCTGAGGTCAGTTCTAAAGGTCTACAGGCTAGAGGACGCGAATGGCTTGAAGAGTGCAAAGATAACCAGTCTCAGTTACTTACACTAGAGATGAATGGGAATGCTAAGGTTACAATGGTGCACACAGGTGATTCAGCTAAGGGTGTAGAGATCCAATTGCTGGGGGCCCCCCTTACGCTGCTATAACGGACTGTGAACTCTTCGGAGGTCTACAAGCAGTGCGATGGGTTATCTCTGCGACAAATGGAGAGATGGTTCAATTCCACTGTTAGTGGCGAGCTCTATACCGTAACGCGTATCGCACGGATAAACTGAACGATCGAGATTTGCACAGTGGCGACTGAGTGTCT